TTAAAAAATAATTACTTTTGTGTAAAAAAATGTTTATAAAGTAAAATACATCTAAAAAACATAAAAGTATAAAATTCACTCATGTATAAAAATTATTGAAAATTACAAAATTTAACTTTTAGTTGTAAATTTTACTTAAAAATAAAAAATACTAACTTAAAAATTTTAAGTATTTATTTTACCTTTTTTTAGTTAAATATTAATTTATATTAAAAATTTCATACTAGAAATTATAAATTTCAGAATCGATGCATAATAAACTCACAAACATGGAATGAATTGTTTTAAAATTTGCTATGAAATCACTAAAAATCAGTCCGAGCATAAATGTTCAAAATCAATTTATCTTTTTTTTAAAAAAAAAGTCAAATAACCGATATTCCAAAACTCTCAAGTAAACCCTAAAATGTATGAAGTTCATATTTTTTAAAAGTCGAAAGATAAACTTTAAGAAATTACTCCTATATGGATAAGACGAATCCATATTTGTTTTATTGATTTCAAAAAAAATATTAAAAACGTGATTAGATTCAAATAGGGGAAACAAAAAAGTAGTAAGCTACTTTTGATACGATGATGTTGTGCCATAAATTTTTTTCTCAAAGAAAAAAAAAAGTATTTGAATCCAAAATTTATCGATAATAAGCTTATATATTAGTTCTTTATCGCATCACATGATTACATTATTCATATAATAGTTTAGTTGGTATACATAATTTGACAAATTTTATAAGAAAAATATTGCATACAATAAACAAAAAGATTACATCATAATTGCTTCTCTTTCCAAAATGAATTAAGAAAATGAACTCACATTGTTAAAATATATTTTATGTAAATCTAGAGATCAGCCTCTCATTCTTAGAAGTGACATGATCATAGTAAAATAAATTAAAAGAGAGGGGATAGACCAAGCTAATCGAAGTGATTTTTTTAATTTATTTTTTGGAAGTAACTTCTGTGCTAGGAAGATCGACATGGTAGAAAATTCACAAAGATTTACCATAAAGCGAAATTAAAGTTTGACTCAGGTGATAAGAATGAAATTTTTATTAGGTCATTCACTTGTTTACGAGATCTTCTTTAGAGAGAGAGAGAGAGAGAGAGAGAGAGAGAGAGAGAGAGAGGAGGAGGAGGAGGAGGTTTTTTCATAAAGGAAAAAAAGGGTATAAAAGCGAGTATAATTGTAACTTGCCTTGCTTATAAAATCTGCCTTGGGTTGAAAGTACGTCAAAACAAATATAAATCCTCCTATTTTGGATTCAACGAAGAGATTTGAGCATGCTTTTCCATAAGTTTGCTCCAATTAAGTCACTTTTGATATTTATAGTTAAGAAAGTTACTTTCGTTGACAGTAGATTTTGCAGTACTATTTACAAAATAACTTATTATGAACCTTGACCAAAAAAAAAAAACAAAAAAAACTTATAAATAATTTTTTAGTTTTAAGATAATTTTTTAAGCTTAGTCAAACGTGCTTCTAAATTCATACGTTAATATATCCATCAGTGATTTTATAAGATCAAAGTCTGGTTGGACTAAGCAACTCTTGATTGACAATCCTTCTCATTTTCTTCCAATGTTCTCTCAATGGAGAAAGTCCCGTCGTCAAGAATCCTCGGCTTGCATATTCAGTAGCCATGGTTATAGATCTTGACACGAAAATAGAATCATGCTTATGCAGAAATTCTCGAGAGTTCTGGTGAAACTACCACTATTACATGAACTTTGCCCAGATGGATGCAGACTATGCCCCCTTTGGCCCCCCATTCTTTCCATAATTTTAATGGTTGGAATAGTATTTTTTTGAAAAATGTGTGGTTAAAAAAGAATAAAAAGTTTTTGATTTGTGTAGAATATTATTTTATGAAATATTGTGTGGTTGAAAATAAAAGAGAGAAAAGAAAACGAGAAAGAGAATGTGGACAAACGGGGGCTATATTCGTTTCAGTTTTTCCATTGTGAATGACATTTGGAAATTGAAGCAATTCATTGCATTGTAAGGTTTGCAAATTCAGGTTTCTATACACAAAAAAGTTGGAAGCTTCCAAAATCTATACCCAGAAAAAATGGATCTGAAACGGTTGAGATACTCCACTTCCTGCTAGTGTAATGTACTGCCCGTATAACGTACTCTTTTGACTGGAAACTGACATGCAAGATTTTGTGAATGTTTTTTACAATTAAGCTACTTCTATAGAAAATATTTACCCCTTGTTAATAAAAGATGAGATACATGTATTTTGGCCCATAATTTGATGTAAAACAGAAAAAATTGTATAAGTAACAAAATCCGCTCGCTAATTATCAGCTTGTTTGTTAAGTAATTATAATCATTTTAAATAATTAGATATAAATGACTGGTGAATAAATAAATATTAGTTGTAGGTTTTACAAATGTGTAAATAAAAAGTAAAGTGATTAAAATACACCTACCACACATGCTGTAAATAAAAAGTAAGTGATTAAAGAGTCCCACCAAATATGCTTTAATTATATGGATATGAGAGTTACTTTATGGACTTATTATTTAATGTGACGTTATATTTTCATAAGGATTTATAGCTTTGCTCTTGGATAATATAGTTATAGATGATGTGTTGAGTATATTTATGTATGTTTACAAATAAATTAATTTATATTTTATAGTTCTAATGGCTTATAACTTTTTAATTAAAACTAAAAAAGTTAATTTATTGTAGTGTAACAGGAGGTTATTGACAATTATATATAATTAACTAAATTTTTATGCAAATTTGAACCCTAAAGTAACTTATATCTTACCAATTAGAACCATAATATTAAAACCTTGTTCTTTTCAAGGTTGAGCTCTTCCATTTATCTCCCTTATGTATTTTTACTTTTGTGCCAAAGGGTGTTATCAACATATTCAATAGGCAAAACACACTCACAGTTAGGGGTTCCGTTCATAAAATGTGTGATTGAAAAATTAAAAGTTTGATGTCCATCTACGTGTCGAACAGAATCTATACATTGATTTGAGATGTTGATCATGTTAATACATGTTCTTTAAATGCTAGGCATAACGAGTGCAAGGTGATAGGGAATAAATTTCACATTAGAAAGTTACCAAAATA